TTTGCCTCATCAATAATTAACACCCTCCCGGCTGCCATCCAGGGACCTTCCAGCCCCTCTGGCACCGCCGGGCTCCAGGCCTGGCATCAGTGTCCCCGGTGCCACCAGCCTCCCCCCTCCCCAGGCTCGGTGGTCCCCCCATCCACAGCCTCTCCCAAAGCCAAGGAATGAGCCCTGGGGACACCAAGGGCAGTGTCACATCCCCCCCAGCCCACGTGGGGATGTGGGAGGGGGTTCCCCCCCCCTCCTTCTCTTGCTGTGGTTTGTGGAGTGGTTTTAATTAAATCCTTCGTCTCCTGTTGCTGTCATTCCCACCTCGCTGCTGGATCGGTGGTTCAGGCTCGAGACGTGTGTATATATATATTTAATTGGTATAAATAATGCATCCCCAGCGCTGACTCTTCCCTTCGCTCCATATTTGGTGCTAAAAAGAGAGTTTTCTGCCTCAAACAGGCTTTTCTCTCCGTGTTTCTCCCCTCGGTCAGAGCAGATCCCTCCTCGGGGGGCTGCGATTGCGTGACGGGGGCTGCTGGGTGCCAGGGCCATGGCCCGGACAGAGCGGGACAGGGAATGCCGGATCCCTGTGGGATCTGACCCCTCAGCCCACGCGCAGGAGGCTGAGCAGGGCTGTGATTTTGGGGAGCATCACCATCACCCCAAAGGCGTCCCCATCCTGTGCCACCACGGCTCTTCCCGGGGCCGGCAGCGAAGGAGAGGGGACAGGGCTGTCCCTGCTCCCCTGAGCCCCAGCCAGGACCCCTCTGGGCGCTGGAGCCGCCGCCTGACCCCCCTTTTCCCCTCTCTGCAGGGAGCATAATGCTGAACAGCATCACCGATGGGCTCCTGTGCTGCCTCATGGGCAAAACCACCAACGCCGTGGGGCCGCTGGACAGCGTTGAGTCCAGCGACGGCTACAGCTTCGTGGAGGTGAAGCCGGGGCGGATCCTGCGGGTCAGGCACAGCGTTCCCGCCCGGCCGGCCCCGGAGGAGCCCGAGGAGGCGCAGCCCGGGGCGCCGGAGCGGGGGCTGGTTCACTGCAAGCGCCGGATCACCCTGTACCGCAACGGGCAGCTGGTGATCGAGAACCTGGGCGACGCCGTGCGCTCCGAGATCCTGCCCTGCCCCGGTGGCGCGGCCGAGCCCGGCGGCACCGTGGAGCTGGAGCTGTCCGAGGCGGCCGGCCAGGCTCCGGCGGGGACGCCGGGATGCGGCGCCCGGGACGCGGCGCCCGGGAAGCGCCGCAAGCGCAAGCCCAAGAAGGTGGTGAACATCGACTGCAGGAAGCGGATCACGAGCTGCAAGGGGACGCACGGCGACGTGGTGCTGTTCTTCATCCACGGCGTGGGCGGCTCCCTGGACATCTGGAAGGAGCAGCTGGACTTCTTTACCAAGCTGGGCTACGAGGTGGTGGCCCCGGACCTGGCGGGGCACGGCTGCAGCTCAGCCCCCCAGATCGCCGCCGCCTACACCTTCTACGCCCTGGCCGAGGACATGAGGGCCGTGTTCAAGCGCTACGCCAAGAAGAGGAACATCCTGATAGGACATTCCTATGGGTAAGGGGCCTGGAGAAGGGATGGATCCACCCCCCCGTCCCCCGTCCCCTCCGACAGATCCCGCGCCTCGGGGGCGTGGGGGTTCCTGTTCTGGGTTTATCCCTCGGTTCTGATCTCCTACATCCTCCTGGGGGGTGTCCCTGGGCCCAGCTAATCCCAGAGCCTGGCCTCCGGTGGGGAAGCTGGCGGAGCACGGCCTATAAATAGGGTAAGCCCAAGAAAGTCAATTAGACAGACACTAAGCAGTGCCTGGGAGGAGAGGGAGCTGGAGCCGGCTTGGAGACGGGCAGGATTAGACCAGGACAAGGCTGGGTCAGGCTGGCGGGCACCCAAGTGGGTTCCAGCGCCCTGCTCTGCTCTGGGCAGGAGTGAGAGCCCCAGCTCAGCCCCTCTGCTGGGGGGTTTGTGTCCCCCGCCCCAGAAAGGGGGAGAACAAAGGGGTGCAGGCACGGATCCCTGGGAATCACAGAATCCTGGAATGGTTTTGGTGGGAAGGGACCTTAAAGCCCACCCAGTCCCACCCCCCTGCCATGGGCAGGGACACCTTCCACCAGCCCAGGTCGCTCCAAGCCCCGTCCAGCCTGGCCTTGGACACTGCCAAGGCTGGGGCAGCCACAGCTTCTCTGGGCAACCTGTGCCGGGGCCTCCCCACCGCGGGGGTCAGGGCGTGGTCCCCATGTCTGTCTGTCCCCCCAGGGTGTCCTTCTGCACCTTCCTCGCCCACGAGTACCCAGACCTGGTCCATAAGGTGATCATGATCAACGGCGGGGGCCCCACGGCACTGGAGCCCAGCCTGTGCTCCATCTTCAACATGCCCACGTGCGTCCTGCACTGCCTGTCCCCCTGCCTGGCCTGGAGCTTCCTCAAGTGAGTGGCCACGCTGGTGAGGGGGAGGGCTGGGGCAGGGACGCCTCGTCCTTCCCCCCGTGCCCCCGAGGCCGGGCTGACCCCCGGCTCCCTCCCGCAGGGCCGGCTTTGCCCGCCAAGGTGCCAAAGAGAAGCAGCTGCTGAAGGAAGGCAACGCCTTCAACGTCTCGTCCTTCGTGCTGCGGGCCATGATGAGCGGGCAGTACTGGCCCGAGGGGGACGAGGTGTACCACGCCGAGCTGGCCGTGCCCGTGCTCCTGGTCCACGGCATGCACGACAAGTTCGTCCCGGTGGAGGAGGACCAGAGGATGGCCGAGGTACGGGGCGGGGTGAGAGGCTGCGCTCGGCCTCAGAGGTCTTTTTGTGTCGATCCTGTGAGTGGGGCCGGGGGCGGATCGCCCGGGGGACTCCTCCCAGCGCTGACCCTGTGCCACCACCCCCCCTCCCGCAGATCCTGCTGATCGCCTTCCTGAAGGTGATCGACGAGGGCAGCCACATGGTGATGATGGAGTGCCCCGAGACGGTGAACACGCTGCTCCACGAGTTCGTCCTGTGGGAGCCCGAGACGCCAGCTGGGGACGGGCACGGGGAGAAGAAATAAGGCAGCGGGACACGGAGACCGGGCTGCTCCCATGGGAGAGATGTTTCGGAGCGCAGAGGGGTTTGTGAGAGCGGAGGGGCTCCGGGGGCTGCCCTCGTCGGGAGCGCAGCCCGTTTGGTTTCCCGGCCGTGCCGGAGGTTGGAGGGGGAGCAGGGAGGCTCCCCCAGGGCAGGGAGTGCAGGGCCGGCAGCGGGAACACGGCAGACCTGGTCCCCAACCCCGCGGGGACGGCGCCGGAGCGTCTTCATCCTGTTCCTTTGTAGTGTTATTTTCCTCACGCAGCGACACCTCCGGGGACTGGTCCCACCCGCGGCAGAACGGGGAGGACTCGCAGGGGCTCCAGGAGGGCCGGAGGACCTGAGCTGGGATTGCTTTAAAGGGGAAGCCAAAGGCTCTTCGGCCTCAGCAGCGGGATTTGCCTCTCGAGCCACCCGGGAGGATGGGACAGCCACGTCCCGGCTTCGAGGGGCTCCTCGTGGATGGCAGCAGCTCCTGCACAGAGGATGAGGAGGTGTCCTGCCTCCGTGGGCACGGCCAGGACCGTGGTGGGACCGGCCTGGCTGTGGCAGGGCCGAGCCTGAGCTCTCCCACGTCCCCCCCCCGCGGTCCCCCCTCCATCTCTTCAGGTCCCGCAGCGCTTCCGCAGAGCCCCCGCTCCCCCTCCCGCTGCCGCAGCCCCCCCGGAGCCCCCCCCACCCCCGTCCCGAGCCACCCACCTTCCCCAGCTCCTCCTCGGCTCCGGGACTCACCACAAAGTCCCCCTGGGATCACCCCTGTCCCCCGAGCGCCGGGGGAGCAGCAATACCCTGTCCCGTGGCCGCTGTGTCCCTCCCGACGGCTCCCGCATGGATCCGCAGGGGCTCGGAGCAACACGGGAGTGAGGAAGGAGACCAGGACCACCTGATCCCAACAGACACCATCACTGACACTGTTCTGTACATAACCCATCGCCTCCCACCCCTGTGCTTCCCATCCCGCTGCCGGGAGCTGGGCAGGGCGGAGGAGATACCCGGGAAGTGCCATCTCAGCTTCCCTGGGCTCCTGGAAAACCGGGAGGATGCTGCTCCCGAGGGCAGGCCCAGCCTCACCCGCCCCACTCCTGCTTTGTTTGCCCCTCACTCCCCCCATCTAAACCAAAGAAACGAGTCCCACGGAAACCTCGACCTCAGCCCCCATCCCACCCGGCCCCCGTGCCCTGAACGGGGCTGGCACCGCACCGAGGCACCCCCGGGGGGCTCAGGGGGGTCCTCCTGGGCAGGGCTGCTCCCACCAGAGCTGGGATCACCCTGCAAAGCACCTTCCCCGGGGCTGAGCCCACCCTTGTCCCCAAAATGAGGGATGTGGAAGAGGAAGGGTCCACCAGACCCCGAGTGACGTGTCCCCTGCGCCCCCTCTGCCAGTGCCTGCCCTTCCCACTGCTGTCTCATAATGAGAATTTTAAGCCCCCTGGGTTCAGATCATCTCCCTCTGCCCCCTCCCACCCCATCCTGCCCAGGGAGAGACCCCCCAGCACACCCCGGGGCTGCAGAGGGTGCCCAGAAACGCCACCAAACGTCCCCCCAGACACGGCTCTGCCCCCGCCGTGCCCCCCCTCCCCGGCCAGCCGGGGGTCGCAGCTCTGCCAGCTCTGTCCCCCACGGGCTCTGTCCCCACATCGCTTGTGCTAAAGCCGAGGCAAACGCACACGGAACCCGCCGCCGCCGCCGCGTTAGTGCCATTCCACCCAGTAAAGCCGTGCTACAGCCCAGCCGTGTCCGACTGCCTGCTGGGGACGGGGCGGGGGGTCCTTCTCCTTGTCCCCGTGCACGGCGGAGCAGGGATGCGAAGCCAGGAGTCTCCCACAACTGGGAATTCTTCAGGCAAACCCAGCCCCGCAGCGATTTATTGATCACCCGGCCGGGGAAATAGAAAAACAGAAACAAACCTTCGCAGCAGTCACGACATAAAAGCTGCCCCCCTCCCCTCCCCCCCGAGCACTGTCACCTCCCCGGGATGTCCCCGGGCCGGAGCTGCCGCTCGCCCTCGGCCAGGAAGATGCTCATGGCCCGGTACAACATGTGCACCCCCAGGCGCCGGCGCCGCTCGGGCGCCCAGCCCGCGGCCACGCCGTAGCAGTGCCCCTTGCGCTGGTTGGTGAGGGTCTGCAGGCCTGTGGGGAGGGGGACAGCACCCACGGGGGCAGGGTCAGCACCCACGGACCCGGCCCCCTGCTCCCCACCAGCACCCACAGCCCTGTGAGGACAGAGGTAGCCCCGCACCCCCCCACCATCACCCACCCCCAGGCAGCTTCTCCCACTGGAAATGGGGGGCTGGGGGCTGTGCCAGACCCTGCCCTGGGAACTGGGAATCCCAAAGTCCCCAGGGTGGGCTGCACCCCCTCCATGACCCCCCTGCAGCCCCCGGCTCCTGCAGGGGTGGCAGAGGGGCTGTGCTGGGGGTCGGGGCAGCCCCAGGATCCCCCCCCCGCTCACCCAGCGCCTCCACCATGCAGCCCTCCCTCGTGTAGGCCTCTGCCGGGACCCTGTTCTGGAAGCAGAGCACGGAGACGACGCCGTGTCCGCTCTCCCAGATCTCCAGGATGCGCCGCACCTTGGGGCAGCCCTGGGGACAGCGGGGACCGTCAGCGGGGCCACCAGTGCCCAGCACAGCCCTCGTGTCCACACCCATGGTCCCCAGCCCCCTGTGCCCATCACCGTGGCCCCAAGGCCCCCCTTTATGCCCATCACCACAGCCATGCCTCAAGCCCCCAGTGCAGCCCCCCCACATCCCTCACCGTGGTCCCCAGCCCCCTGTGCCCATCCTCACAGCCTCAAGCCCCCATGGAAGCCCCGTGGCCATGCCCACAGCACTCAGCCCCCCCAGTGCAGCCCTCACACCCCTCCCCACAGCCTTGTGCCCCCCATGCCCATCCCCACAGCCCCCAGCCCCCCACGCCCACCTCCCCCGACCCCCAGCCCTCCCCACCCGCCGTGTCCCTGCCCGGTGCTGGCCCAGAGCCTCGGCCAGGTGGCAGTAGGGCCTGGCCCGGGTGCCCTTGCCCACGTAGAACACGGCGCTGACGAAGGTCTGGAAGCGCTGGGCGGGGCTCAGGTGGGGGCAGCGCTGGGGCAGGTCCCGGGTGGTCCTGGGGGTGCAAACCCCACCTCAGAGCCTCGATGCCTCGCAGGGCAACACAGCCAGTCCTCCCTCGGGCCCTGCTGGCACAGGGAACGGCGGGCACGGCGCCCTGGCCCTACCTGGGGTCGAGGAGGAGGTAGTTGAAGCTGGACTTGAGCAGCCCTTCCCGCCAGCGCCGGCCGCGGTCGGGACGCTCGAACTGCCGCGCCAGCGCCAGCTCGTCCTGGGCACAGTCGGGGATGTGGCCGGTCCTCAGCGCAGCCACCAGCTCCGGGCTGTGCCCTGGGGGGGCCGTGCCAGCATTGGGGACCACCGTGAGCCTCGTGGCTGTAACCATGGGCTCAGCGCAGCCCCCCGTGCCCATCACCACAGCCCCCAACCCCCACCCCCACGGGGAGCTGCCAGGCCGGATGGGAACCCCGGGGTGGGTCCCCCAGGATGGGATGCCCAGACTCACCCCCCGGCTCCCTGCCGTGCCCCGTGCCCAGCTCCCGCAGCCGCCGCCGGTAGAGCCCCCGGGTGAGGTCGGTGACGGGTCCCGCGTCCTCCCCCAGCTCCCGCAGCCGCCGCCGCAGACTTTGGTCCGAGAGGGGCCCCGGGGACACCGGGGACACTCGGCCATCCCGGCCCGGGGCGTCCTCGGGGCTGGGGGTGGCCCCTGTGCCGGGACTGTGACACTCGGGGGGTGACAGTCCCTGCCCCTCATCCTCTCGACGCCCCCCGGAGCAGTGGGGGCCACAGCCGGGGGGTGACAGTGGCACAGATGGGGTGCCCAGGTCCCCCCCGGCACTGCTGGATGCTTGTGGGGCCAGAAGGCGCCTGGAGCTCCCGTGGGGCCACTGGAACTGGGGCGTCCCCGAGGGCGAGTGGCAGTGCCACCCAGAGCCACCCTCCAGCACCCCGGGGTGGGGGGAGCCCCGAGGGCCTGATGGGGGATGCGGGGGGGTGGCGGGGTCCCCAGGGCACAGTAGGACCGTGGGGCTGGAGCCGGGGGAGCTGCCGAACCCCCCCGGGGGTGAACTGAGGGCTCCGGGCAGGATCTGAGTGTCTTCCAAAGAGTCTGTCCCCTCTCCGCCCTCCCCGGACACATCCTCGTCCCGCGGGGTGACACAGTGTCCCGGGGGGGTGGCAGGGTCCCTGGGGACCCCCCGGGGGGATCTGATCCTGGGGGGTCTCCGGGGCATCGGCAGCGTCCCGTTGAAGAGGGAGGAGGAAGAGGAGGAGGAGGAGGAGTTGAGCCGCTCTGCCACCGCCCGGAGGCGGCTCCTGGTCCTGGGGGTGATGTGGCGGTGCCCGGGGGGCTCCTGGTCCCGGGGGGTGACATCCCCAGCGGTGACACCCGCCGGGCTGTGAGGGGACCGCGGGGTGCAGGGCGGGGACCCCCGGAGGCTGCAGCCCTGGAGCCGGGCAAGCAGTTCCCCCACATCACCCGCGCCTGGGCCCCCCCCAGAGCGAGGGGCTGCCCCGGAGCCCCCCCAGAAACCCCCACCCTGAGCCCGCTCCGCGCGGGGGGGGCTGGCAGGGGGCAGCTCCCGGGGGGCAGCTCCCGTTGGGGAGGGGGCTGCACCCCCTCCCAGCCCCCCGGCTGCCCGGGGCGGGGGGGAACAGCGGGGCTGAGCCCCCCGGCCCCCCCCGGCCTCGCTGGGCTCCAGGGTCCCCAGGGCAGTGACAAAGCACTCGGTGGCACTGCTGCTGTCCCCAGGGCTGCTGCTGTCCCCAGGGCTGTCAGGGTCCCCAGGGCTGCCGGGGTCCCACCCCCCAACTCCCACCTTGGGCACCACCCCCCCCACTTTGGGGGCAGCACCCCCCACCCCTCCCCAGGGGACACCGGGGCGATGCTGAGGGATGTCACTGTCACCAGGGCTCGGGGACAACTCGGAGCAGCTGCTCAGGCCACGGCAGGGCAGGGGGGCTCTGTGTCCCCCCAGGGTCCTGCTGCAGCACTGAGGGTCCCTCAGGGACCCACCGGGGCCAAACTGGGGGCAGGGGACACGGATGTCCCCAACACTGGGCTGGGGGGGAGCCCAGGGGGGAGGTCCCGTCCTTCCCCCCCCAGGCCAGCTCGGGGGTCCCTCCTGGAGCTCGTCCCTGTCCCAGAGCAGTGTGCTGGAGGCCAGGGGCTGGGGGGGGACAGCAGAGCCCCTGGGGTCCCCCTGGAGCCATGGGGGGAGGGCCGGGGGCTCTGGGGCACGGCCCTGCCACAGCGAGGGGACACAGTGGCCCCCCAGCTCCTGCTCCTCCAGGAGGGACCTGCGGGTGCTGCTGAGGGGTCCGGCCTCGGAATTGTCCTCAGGGAACCCAGGGGAGACGCTGCCATCGGAGTCATCCTCGGTCAGGAAGGACAGGGCCCTCCTGCACCCCCCCGGGGCTGGGGACAGGGACGGGAATCAGTGCCCAGCCCAAACTGGGGGGCTGGGTGGGACCCCCAAGCCCAGCCAAGGGGGCACCCAGGGGACCTCACCCTCCACGAGGGGCCAGCCCTGCTCCAGCACCACATCCACGGCCTGTTTTCCATCCTGCGGGGAGGGGCCATCGCTGTCACTGCCGCCAGGGCCACCACGGGGTGACACAGCTCCCCCACCCCACCGACGAGGAGGGTCCCGTGGGTGCTGTCCCCGTGCCCGGGGCTGTCCCTGTCCCCGCTCACCTGGTCCCGCAGGTGCCCCCGTTCCCGCAGGAGGAGCCCGAGGCACCGGCGGCACCCCCGGGCCGCGGCCTCGTGGAGCGGCGTCAGCTCCCGGGAACGCCTGGAGTGTGGGATCGGGAGCGGGGTCACCCCCAGCCCGGGCCGCAGGTCAAGGAAGGTCACGGCCCCCCCCGGGGGTCACACAAGTGCCACCACCCCGCAGCGGGGCTCCAGCACCATCGGGGGGGGGACCCTGCGTGGCGCCGGCAGGTCCCCGGTGTTGGGGTCCCCCCCGTGGTGCAGCACTCCCCCCTGTCCCGGTATCCCCCCCGTCCCGGTATCCCCCCCGTCCCGGTGTCCCCCCCGTCCCGGTGTCCCCCCCGTCCCGGTATCCCCCCCGTCCCGGTATCCCCCCTGTCTCGGTATCCCCCCTGTCCCGGTATCCCCCCTGTCCCGGTGCGTTCCCCTTGTCCAGGTGTCACCCCCCGGTCCCGGTGTCCCCTCCCGGCCCCAGTGTGTGCACCTTGGTCCCGGTGTTCCCACTCCGGTCCCGGTGGCCCCCCGTGCCACCCCCGATCCCAGTATCGGTCCCGGTATCCCCCCGTGTCCCCCCCGTCCCGGTATTCCCTCTGGATCCCAGTGTCCCCCCGGTATCCCGGTATTCCACGGTGTCCCCCCCCGTATCCCGGTATTCCCCGGTGTCCCCCCTGGATCCGTGTCCCCCTCCCGGTATCCCGGTATCCCGGTATTCCCCAGTGCCCCCCCGGTGTCCCCCCCTTACGTTCCGCTCATCCCGCCCCGCGCACGTTCAAACCCCCCGCGCCGCCGCTCATTGGCTGGCGAGGAGCCAATGGGAGCCGGCCGAGGGCGGCCACACCCACCTCCTACCAGTGACGTATAACCAGGGAGGCGGAGCCAAAGCGCTCCGTGCCCCCGCCCCCTGAACCTCAGCGCCCCCCAGTGGCCGGCGCCGGTATCTCCCAGTGCTCCCAGTGACTGCACCAGTGCTCCCAGTGCTCCCAGTGACTGCACCAGTGCTCCCAGTGCTCCCAGTGACTGCACCAGTGCTCCCAGTGCCTCCCAGTGACTGCACCAGTGCCTCTCAGTGCTTCCCAGTGCTCCCAGTGCCTGCACCAGTGCTCCCAGTGCCCTGAACGAGCACCGCCCAGTGCCTCCCAGAACTCCTCACCAACTCTACCCAGCACCTCCCCAAACCCTTCCCCAGCAGCGCCCACACAGGGCCGGGAGGGGTGACCCCGGTCCCCCAACCCCCACCCCGAGCCCAGACCCCGCAGCAGCACCACGACACCACCAGTCAGGCCAACACCTCTCTTTCCCCGTCCCAACAAAACCCCCGCAGGAGCCGCCACGACACCCCCTCCCCAGCCACCCCCACCCTCCCCCCCGGGGGGCTCAGACGGTGGCCTCGACCTCGGGGGGCTCGTCCTCCTCGAGCAGCCCGTAGGCCGCGTGGCTCTGGAAGGGGCGCTGCAGGGGGTGTGCCAGCAGCTTGGCCATGCAGTTGTGCAGCTCCACCGCCGGCCCCGTCAGCGGCACCTCGTACTTGTAGTTGGTGCCCTTGGTGTCCAGGCTGCTGAAGAAGCCGTACATCTCCTGGGGGAGGCCACGGGAGGGGCTGGAAGGGCGGGCAGGGGGCGGCCCTGCCACGGGGAGACCTTGGCGGTTTCCCCTCCAACAAGGGTCAGGGAACCCCGCTGGGATCCCCCCGGGAATGGGCTTGTTCTGCACTGTCCTGAGTTTTATCCTACTTTTTACAGGGTAGTCTCCTCTGAAGCACCACCAGGCCTGGGGGTGGCCTCAAAGAGCCCCCTCAAACCCCTCCCCAGGCCCAGGGACTGGCCCCAAAGAGCCCCCTCAAACCCCTCCCCAGGCCCAGGGACTGGCCCCAAAGAGCCCCCTCAAACCCCTCCCCAGGCCATGGACTGGCCTCAAAGAGCTCCCTCAGGAATTCAGGGTCGTTCTTCCCTCCCTGCCTCCTCGTTTTTCAGCATTACCAGCCCCAAGGAAAGGGTGGGGGGTAGGCTGGGCTCCCCCCTCCCCGGTGTGACCCAGTTCTGGCTGGCACCTTTCTGACACGGAGAATTCCTTACTCAGGGTGAGGGAGCAATCCCTCCCAAGAGCACAGAGCTCCTGCTGAGCCCAGGGTCTCCCAGGAAATCCCCCCTGCCCGCTGTACCTTCCAGCTCGTCTCCTCCTCCTTCTCCTCCAGGCCGTTGTGGATGTAAACCACGTCGAAGAAGAAGTAGGGGCACTGCAGCATCTTCTGCAAGGGAACCAGGGAGCTTTTCCAGGGACAACCCTGGAGCCACCGAGGTCCCCAGAGGGGACACAGGGGGCACTCAGAGGATCAACGAGGTTGGAAAAGTGCTCCAGTGCCTTCCCCAACCTCGTTGCCCTTCTTTGGACACTCTCCAGCCCCTCAATGTCCTTCCTGAACTGAGGGGCCAGAACTGGGCACAGCACTCGAGGTGTGGCCTCGCCAGTGCCCAGTCCAGGGGCAGAATCACTGCCCTGCTCCTGCTGCCACACTGTTCCTGATCCAGGCCAGGATGCCACTGGCTTTCCTGGCCCATGTTCAGCTTCCGGTCACTCCCCAGTCCCTCCCTGTCCCCAGGTGGTGCCGCAGGACTCACCTTCATGTGCTCGGACATGGAGAACTGGGGCTGGCACCCGGGGCGCCCGAACACCAGGATGGTCCGGACCACGTAGGGCGGGGGGATGGTCTGCACGTTCTCTGTCACCGGCAGCTCGATCTTCTGCTGGCTGTGCCAGGGGAGGGGGAGGTGGATCAGGGACCCCCACGGCACCCCCAGCTCAGGGTCCGTCCCAGGGGAGCAGCGCCCACCCCCAGGAGCCCTTCGGGTTAAAGGCTCGGGGTGTAAAGTGGGAAATCTGCAGCCAGGTGGGAGCTCTGAGCCCCCCACCCAGCACCCCCAGACTGCCCCAGCACCCACTGACCCCCCCTCCCACACCCCCGAGCCCCCCCAGACGTACTCACATCAGGTTGAAGAGTCCTTCCAGATCTGCACCCCAGTTAAGGACCAAGCTTGGCACAGGGACCCCCCCTGCCCACCCCTGGGCACATCCCAGGCCCCAGGGACATCCCAACCCCAGGCTGGCACCAGGACACCCAGGCAGCCCCCTCAGAGGGAGGTGATGTCACTGGGCACTGGAAATGGGGAGAAAACATCACTAAATGAGGGTCTGGTGGGTGGGGAGGGTCTGGTGTTACCCCTCTGCCTTGGGGGGCCTCAACAGCTCCATTTGACCCCCTCCAGCCTCCAGATGCTCGGGATGCCAGGGAGGAGCCTCGAGGGTCCCTGCAGATGCTCAAAGGACCCTGTTTGCACCCAAGGGACCCCACTAGCACCCAAGGGACCCCCGTCCCAGCCCCACAGGCGGGCGGATACTGAAGGACTTGCAGACGACGGTCTCCAGGTCGTAGAGGCAGCTGCAAACCTCGCGGGGGTCCGAGGTGAACCCCGAGAGCTGAGAGGAGCCGGGTGAGGGGTGCACGGAGCTGTGCCTGTCCCCAGCCCCGTCCCTTTCCCCGTCCCTGTCCCCCTCTCACCCACGTGGCGTCGTTGTTCACCACCACCAGCGCGAACTCGTGGCACTTGTCGATCTTGTGCTTGGTCCTCACGAACATCTCGATCATCTTCTGGGAGATGTTCAGCGCGTTGGTCTTGGACCTGCCACGGGGGGAGAGGGGCTCAGCGGGGCCCAGCAGCCCCCCCCCGGCGCCCTCCGAGCAGCCCCCACCACTCACCCGTTGAAGGACTCCAGTTTGGGCACTGCCATCTCCTCGGCCAGGTCCAGGCAGATGATCTGTGGGAGAGGGAGACACAGCTGAGCCCCCCCCCCAGCCCCTCACCCCGGGGTCAGGGCTGACCCCTGCTCAGCCCTCCTGCATCCCCCCCTATCCCCACACCCACCTGATGCATCCCTTCAGCATCTGCCCTGGTAATTCCTCAGTGGAATGCTGGGGGGATCCCCAGCATCCTCCCTGTTAATTCCCCAGTATCCCCCCAGCATCACCAGTATCCCTCCAGCATCTTCCCAGTATCCCCACAACATCCTCGGTATCCCCCAAGATCCTCTGATAACTCCCCACTATCCCCCCAGCACCCTCCCTGACAACTCCCCAGCATCCCCCCAGCATCTTACCCGATAATCCCCCAGTATTCCCCCAGCACCCCCCCGGCAGCCACTCACCACCTTCTCGGGGCAGTTCACGCGGGGGGTCTTCACCTGCACCTCGGTGGGCGCGGCGGGGCCGGGCCAGGCGGTGCCGTCGGGGCCGGCGGTGCCCTGCGGGCTGTGGTCGGCGCTGGCGGCCTCGCCCTCGCCCTCGCTGCGGTTGCCCACGCTGGCCTGGGCGCTCAGCGCCCGGTCCTCGGCGCCCTCGGGGTTCGAGCGGGTCCGGGGCCGCGGCTCGGGCGCCTTCTCCTCATCCTCCTCGGCCGCGCTGCCCGGCTCCGACGTGTCCATCCCCGCGGGGATCCGACGGCGATCACGGGGGGCTGGAGGGGGGTCACGGTGCGGCTGGGACCCCGCAACGCCCCGGCCCCCGGTCCTGGGCACCCCCTGCCCACGCACCCCCTGCCCACGCACCCCCCAACCCCGCGGACCCCCTGCCCCGGCACCCCCCCACGCCCCCTGCCCCACGCACGCCCCATCCCGTGCCCCTCTGCCCACCCGCCCCCTGCCCCGCACACCCCTCGCCCCGTGTAACCCCTTCCCCGCGCACCCCCGCTCCGCGCGCCCCCCGCCCCACGCCCCCCTTATCCACGCACCCCCTGCCCCACGCACCCCCCTTCCGTGTGCTCCCTTCCCACGCCCCCCCCCGCTCTGAGAACCCCTTGCCCACGCCCCCCCCGCCCATGTACCCCCCCATCGTGGCCCCTCGCCCCCCCGGTGCCCCCCCTGCCCCCGCACCGTCGCTCCCGCGCCCCCCGCGCCCCCTCCCCGCGCTCACGCGCTCCGGCCCCGCCCCGTCCCGGCGGAAGCGGCGCCGCGCGGGGGCTGCCGGGAGTTGTAGTTCCGATAGGTCCGAAGGGCACCGGGGGGGGCCCAGGGACGGGACCCCCGCGACCCCCCGCACCGTCCCGACCCCCTGAACCTCAAATACCCACGTGCACCCCCCTGCATCCCAGGCAGCCGTGTGCGCCCCGCTCCACGAATGACCATGAGCACCCACGCACACCCCAAAATCCATCTGCACCCCCCTCGACTGCCCCCTGCACCCCAAATATCCACGTGCACTCCTCTGCACCCCAGATATCCTGTGCATCTCCATCAACTGCCTCCTGCACCCCACATATCCTGTGCGCCCCTCTGCACCACTCCCTGCACCCCAAATGTCCCTGTGCACGCCTGTGCACCCCAAATATCCATGTGCGCCCCCACGAGCCACGCCCTGCACCCCAAAGCCTCATGCACACCCTCCTGCACCCCCACACCCTCCCTCTGCACCCCAAATCCCCATCCTCCCCCCCTGCACCCCAAACACCCCCACAGCCCCTCTTTGCACCCCAAAACCATCCTCCACCCCTCCCACTGCCCACAACACCCCTGGCCTGGCTCCCTCTTGGCCCTACACCCCCAGCCCCCCCCCCAGTGCCTCCCAGCACCCCAAATTCTCCTGCACACCCCCAAAGTTTCAGGGTGCCCCCCCCAAATTCCAGGGATGCTCCAGGGCATGAAGCTGGGAGCATCCTCCTGCCTGGGAGCGCACGGGGGACCGGGAGGGGCTGGTGGGGGGCAGAGTGGGGAGGGGGCAGTGTTGGGGGGCAGAGCACCCTGAACCAGCTCTGCCCTCACCCCCGCACGGGGCAGCGCGGGGGTTAAGTGGAGGAGGCTGCAGGGAAGAGGAAATCTCGGCAGGAACAAGGACAGGGGAAGGCCAAGGGCAGCGGCCGGAGGCGCAGCCGGAACGTGCCGGAAGGTGTCGGAGCCTTGGCCGTGGGATCGGGACGTGCTGGAACCCCAGGGTGGAACTGGGACGTACTGGGAGCACCGGTGTGGAACTGGGACGTGACGGAGCCCCAGGGTGGGACTGGGACGTACCAGGATCCTGGGTGTGGAATCAGGATGTGCTGAGACCCTCGGAGGGGAACTGGGACGCACTGGGACCCCTGGTGTGGAACTGGGACGTACTGGGAGCACTGGTGTGGAACTGGGACGCACTGGGAGCACTGGCAGACGCGGGGCAGGAAGTGCCCAGGATGGAGAAGGCAAGTGGGCTGTGGGGTGTGCTGGGCACTTCCCGGGGTTGATCCCACAGGGCCGGGGGGCTCCTCGTGCCGCCCTCGGGCACCCCCCGGCCACAGGCCTGGTGCCGGGCTCTGGGGTGGAACTCCAGGCCCGGAGACCAATGGGCTGGTGGCCAAAACTCATCCCCATCCCAGGAAACCCCGGTGGGTGCCACCCCCTCCGGCCCCGGTGCTGGCCGGGGGACGGACACACCCCCCTGGTCCCTGCGGCCCCCCCAGCTCCCACCCGGCGAGGAGGAGGAGGAGGATGAAGAAGGGGGTGAGGATGATGAGGAAGAGGAGGCTGAGGCTGGCGATGAGGAGGACATGGTGGGTGACGCCGAGGACATCCTGTGCTACGAGGAGCGCATCGCCGGGCTCCTGGCCACCGTGGCCCGGCTGCACCAACGGGCAGAGCGGCTCCAGCGCCGCCCCGGCAGGTACCGGCACCGGCATTGGCACCGGGGGGCACCGGGGGCTGCCACCACATGGCCCCCCTTCATCTCTGCCCTTCATTGCCCCGCAGGGAGGGCGAGGAGGGCTGGGAGGGCACCGCCAGCCCGCCCTCTGCCAGCCCCACGCCGCGGCACCTCGACGGCACCGGCACCGGGCAGGAAGGTGAGTGCTCAGTGCCGTGCGCGCTGTGCCACCTCACCCCACGCCGTGCCACCCCTGACCCCCGCTGTGCCCCCCGCCCCCAGCCCACAGCCCCGACCTCTTCGCCGACCTCCAGCACGCCGTGAGCTCCCTGGAACGCGCCGTCTTCTCCCGGCACCGGCGGCCGCCGGCACAGCCCCTGCCCGGCGAGGAGTGGGCGCGAGCGGCCAAGGTGGGGCTCGCCGGCACCCCCGGCCCCGATGCCGAGGGGGTGGGCACCCACTGACCGTCTCTGCACCCCCAGAGCCTGGAGGAGCTGAGCCGGGCTCCGGGCTGGGCCGGGCGGGTGACCCGGCGGTGCCCGGCGGTGGCGGCGGGCGAGGAGGTGCCGGCGGAGGTGGCGGCGGCGCTGGCGAGGAACGCGGCGCTCCGGGCGGCCGTGGGGCGCCGGGACGAGGAGCTGGGACAGGCCACGGCCGCGCTGCGGGCGCTGCGGGGGGAGCGGGACCGCCTGCAGGGCAAGGTGGGTGCGGGGGGCACCGCGCGGGGGGCACCGGGTGCGACCCCAGGGCTCAGCCCGGTGCCTGGCACAGGTGAGGGACCTGCAGGATGCTCTGTCCAGCCTGGAGGAGCTGGGGGGCTCTGGAAGTGACGCCCCCGGGGTCAGCAGCCCCCTGAGGCTGCACCAGGTGAGTGCGGGGGGGCCGGGCCATGGTGGGGGGGGGTTGGTGGGTGGGATCCTGCCCCGGTGCTGGGCTCTGCCTGTTCCCTCCACAGGATCTGCCCCAGTGCGGGGACAGTGCTCAGCCCCACGGGGTGCAGCCCCAAGGGATCCAGCCCCACGGGGTGCAGCCCCTCAGGATCCAGCCCCACGGGATGCAGCCCCTCAGTTCTCAGCCCCACAGCCCCCTGTCCCCCCAGCCCTCGGCGGGTGCCAGCCGGGAGCAGGAGGAGCGGCTGCAGCAGCTGCAGGGGTGAGACCCCCCATCCCCGGGGCTGCCGGGCCCTCCCCAGTGGGGCAGCCGAGGTCTGGCACGGCCTGACCATGGTGCCGGCCGTGCCCAGGTGCCTGGGGCGGCTGCAGGAGGTGAACCGGGAGCTGGCGGCCGCGCTGCAGGAGTGCAAGAGCGAGGCAGAAAGGCTGAGCATGGAGCTGGGACAGCACGAGTCCCGCAGCACCGCCCTGCGCCTGGCCCTGCGCTGCAGGTGGCATGGGAGGGCACGGGAGGGGAGGGGATGGCACCAGCATGGGTGGCAGGATGGGGACAGCCACACTGAGCCCCTCGTCCCGCAGCGAGCGCTGCGGGGGCGCTTATGCCGCCCTCCTGGACCTGCTGCAGGCAAAGGTGGGACGGGAGGACGGTGCCCGTGGGGGTGAGTGACAGCTCGGGGGGCTCCGGGGGGTTGGAGGTGCTGGGGGGTGCTGGGGAGTTGTCAGGGAGGATGATGGGGGGATATTGGGTGTGCTGGGGAAGACACTGAGGGGATACTGGGAGTGCCAGAGGGGATGCGGGGAGGATGTTAAGGGGATACTGGGGAGTTATCGGGAGGGATGCTGGGAGGATACTGGTGCTGCTGGGGAGGATGCTGGGGAGGATACTGGGGAGTTACCAGGACGATGCTGGTGGTCCTGGGGAGGATTCTGAGGGGACACTGGGGAGTGACCAGCGAGGAGGCTGAAGGGATGCACGAGGCGTGTGTGGGGATTTGGGACCATGCAGGAGGGCTGGGTGGGAACACTGCTCCAAGGAGGGGCACTGGAGGGGTGCAGGGAGGATGCTGGGGGGCTGCAGGGAGGATGCTGGGGAGGGAGGATGCCCTGCAGAGGGGCACCTGCCCGCACACTGCCTGTCCCGTGCCCAGGAGCCGCGAGCGAGCCGAGCCCAGGGCACGCACAGGGGTCCAGCCCCACGGCCACGGAGGGGCCGCAGCTCCCGGGCCCAGCGGAGCCGGACGGGCAGGAGGAGAGCGGGGCCAGCAGCTCCCCCGGGGCACAGAGGTACCCGGAGGAGGGCGGGGGGCACGGTGTTCGGCCGTCCCCGGGGTACCCCCGTGCCCACCCCAGGCACATCCCTATCCCACAGCACTGCGGCGCCCCGGGGGATGGAGGAGGGGGCCCTGCGGGAGCACATCCGCCGGCTGCGCGCCGAGCAGGCGGCCGTGGAGGGGTCCCTGCTGGACGCCCCGGCCCCCCCCGGGGTGACCCGGCACGGCCAGGACGCCCGGGCCCGGGCCGAGAGGGCACTGCAGGACGCCAGGATGCTGCTGCCGGGCTGGAGGCGGCCCGAGAAGGCGGAGCTGCTGCAGGACCTGGCCATGCTCAAGGTGAGGGATTTGGGGTTGAGGGGCCCGACGCCCGGATCCCTCCACGTGGGAGTGGAGCCAGAGGGTGGTGACGCCGCTGCCGTGCCAGGAGGCCATGGCTGAGCTGAGGACGCGGCTGCAGCTGGCGGAGAGGGAGAAGCGGGGCCTGGAGGTGCTGCTGGCCGGGCAGGGCCCACGGGAGGCTGCCCTGCGCCTCGTGCTCCAGCACCTGCAGTGGGAGCGGGAGGGGGGCACCCGCCGCCCCCCCAGCAGCTCCAGCAGCTCCAGCAGCAGCGAGGGGGTAAGGATGGCTCGGAGCTCCCTCCCCGGGGCTGGGGGTCTCCCCAGGGATGGGACCCACACCCGACCTCTGCAGGATGCCCAGATTGGCCGGGGCGGAGCGGCGGCTCCGCGGAACCCTCCGGATCCGGAGAGGATGAGGGAAGAGCTGCTCCGCACCTCGGCCAGGTGAGAGACCTCGATGGTGTGAGCGGTGCCGGGGTGGCCACTGTGAGGGGCTGGGCATGGGGCCACACTGGGAATCGCGCTGGGAATTGTGCCGGGATGGGCACTGCGTGGGCACCAGGCTCGGTGCAGGACCGGCTGCCACGCGCGTGTCCCCAGGACGGAGGAGCTGCGTGCCCGGGCACAGGAGCTGGTGCTGTCCCTGGAGCAGGGCAGTGCTGCCAGCCGAGCGCAGCAGGCACAGAGTGTCACCGTCACCTCGGATCTGTTCCAGGCGCACAGGTGGGCAGGGGGCACCCACGTCTCTGCTGGGTGGGCGTGGGGTGCAGCATCTCCTGGGTGCCCTGTGTCCCTTGGGTGCCCCGGATTCCCTGAGTCCCCTTGGTCCTCTGGATCCCCTGGGTGTCTTCTGTCCCCTCAGTCCCTTGTGTCCCCTACGGCCCCTGGATCCCCTTGGTCTCCTGGGTGCCCTGTGTTCCCTCCATCCCTTCATCCCCTGGGTGCCCTGTGTCCCCTGGACACTCTGGCTGTCCTGGATCCCCCGTGTCCCTTGGGTCCCCTGAATCCCCTGGATCTTCTCAATCCCCCGGACACCCTGTGTCCCCTGGATCCCCTGAGTGCCCTGGGTCCCTGGCATCACATGTGTCCCCTGGTTCCCCTCGGTCCCCATGATCCCTGGTTGTCCTAAATCCCCTGGGTCCCCACATCCCCCATGTCCCCCATATCCCTCATGCCCCCCTGTGTCCTTCACGTGCCCGGTGTCCCCTCTGTCCCCCATATCTCCCCTGCCCCCCCTGTCCCCCGTGCCCCCCATATGCCCAGTGCCCGGGCGGGTGCTGAGCGTGCCCCTCAGCGCCCTGGCCCTGGCGTACCGCGGTGCCCGGCGCAAGCAGGCGGCCCAGGCGCGGCGCCTGGAGGCGCAGGCAGGAGCCCTGCGCAGGCAACATTCCCGGCGGGAGCAGGCGCTGGCCCGCAGGCTGCACTCCCTGGAGCAGGGCCCGGCCGGCAGCGAGACCTGCATCTAGAGACCCCCCCCCCCGGAGCCCCCTCCCCGCTGTACCCCCGCCGTAATAAACGGTGGACGCTCGTGGTTTGGCGTTGGGGGGGTTTTGAGCTCGGGCGGGGCTCAGCTGGGGGACCCCCGGCTCGGCTCGTCCCAGGGGGGCCGGGAACAAAGGGCGTCCCCCCCGCGCCCCCCCCGCTGTCTCCCGGCGCAGATGAAGCCATTTGGTTGTCCCTGGCGCGGGATCAAAGGTGACGGCAGTGGCCGTGGCGCGGGGCCCATCCATATTCAGGAGGAAGAGGAGCGCTGACCCCGCGCCGGGGGCAGCCCGGCCCTGCACGGGGGGCTCCGGGAGCGGGCTGGGCCGGGGGGCTGCCGAGGGGACTGGGGGGGGGCTCAGCCCACCATCCTGAGCCCCCCCATCCCCGCACGAGGGAGCGCATGGATGGTGGGAGCACATGGATGGTGGGAGCACATGGATGGTGGGAGCAGGGCTGAGCGTGGGGCTTGGGGGGGGATGAGTGGGGACAGGGCAGGGCTTGGATGCACTGAGGGGTGGAGGGAAACTGAGGCACGGAGCTGGAATGGGCTCCAGTGAGGCCTGGATCGCCCTGGAGAGATCCTGCAGCGGAGTTCAAGGCTCCGTGGATCAACATCTGGAGCTGTGGTGATGGAGAGCGCTGGGAGAGGGATGCAGGGATTCGGGGACGCAGGGACACAGCGGTGCAATTATGCAGGGATGCAGAGCTGTGGGGATGCAGGGATGCAGGGGATGTAGGGATTCAGGGATGCAGAGCTGTGGGGATGCAGGGATGCAGGGGATGTAGGGATTCAGGGATGCAGGGGATATAGGGATTCAGGGGATGTAGGGATTCAGGGATGCAGGGATTCAGGGTTGCAGAACTGTGGGGATGCAGGGATTCAGGGATGCAGGGATATGGGGATGCAGGGATGTGGGGATGCAATGAGGGAGGGATTTAGGGATTCAGGGCTGCAGGGACTCAGGGAGCAGGGATGCAGTTCATGCCCCCGAGCTGCCTGTGCCCTCCACCCCCGCCACGTCTCCGCTCTCTGAAATGGGGTCACCTCCTTGTCCCCAGAGGCAGCAGGGCTGGATCAAAGGACACCTTCCCCAGGGAGCTGCCCCGGCACAAAATGGGAGCAGCAGAGCCCTGATTGGTGCCCAGCACAGGGGGTGGGTGCCCAGACCCGGATACCGGAGCCAGGGGCTGCCTGTGCCCCCCGCTCCCAGTCCCTGCCTGTGCCCCCTGCTCCCAGTCCCTGCCTGTGCCCCCCGCTCCCAGTCCCTGCCTGTGCCCCCCGCTCCCAGCCCCTGCCTGTGCCCCCCGCTCCCAGCCCCTGCCTGCCCTGGGCACGGCCCCGGGGGGGACTGTGGCTGGTGGGGGGGTCCCGTGGGCCGGGGCCGGTGGTGTGGAGGGGCTGACCCGCAGGTTGAAGGTCAGGGCTCCGCGCTCAGACCCCTTTTCAGATTCAAATGGGCTCCCGGGGGCTTTGTGCGGGGTCAGGCTCCACCGAGAGCCGCATGAAAGGCCGGGGCAGCCGGGGCGGCCTCGACCCTGGGTGCCGGCAGGAGGGGGAGGGCAGGTGGGACCTGCCACCGCCCCCACCCTGCCCAGAGGGTCCCCCCTGCCACGTCCTGCTGACCCTGGGGCCAGGCCGGGGTTCCACATGCCCGCTGATGTTCTGTCCCACTCCCTGCCTCAGTTTCCCCTCTGTGGAGCAGGAGGGGGGTCGGGTCACCCCCAACCTCTCCACAGGGCTGGGGGCAAATCCATGGCATTGGGGGGGGGTGCAACCTCCTCTCCATGGGGTGACATGGGGGGCATGGGGGGGTGAGAGCCCCTGTGTGCAGTGATCCCCACCCAAGGTTTGCACCCTCACGGGGGTGGGAGCAGAGCAGGGCCTGAACAAGGGCTGAAAATCAGGGAATTGACCCCAAATCCCCATGTGGGGCTATGCTGGGGCTCGGGGGGGGACAGACAGAGGGACGGGGTGGTATCTATCCAAGCCCCCGGGAAGCACCGCCGCTGGCAGCCCCCACATGGGCCTGGGAGAGGGAATGGCCACCCCACAGCCCAGAGTGGGCATAACTGGCATGAGGGGATTTGGGGCCAAGCTGGTGCTGGTGTTGGCATCCGGCTCCGCAGTGCTGCTGGTTCCCACCTCTCCATCCGGGATGGCACCAGAATCTCTGGTCCTGCTGGTTCCCACCTCTCCATCCGGGATGGCACCAGGCTCTCCAGTGCTGCTGGTTCCCACCTCTCCATCAGGGATGGCACCAGGCTCTCCGGTGCTGCTGGTTCCCACCTCTCCCTCGGTGCTGGCACCCGGCTCCCCAGTGCCACCGGCACCCGGCTCTCCGTCGGCACAGCCGCAAACCCAGCCCTGCCCCGCACATTTTGGCAAGAACTCCTCTGCCATCCCCCTGCCCACGGGCCGTGGGGAGCAGGGGGGGTCAGCGCTGCCCCCCGTGCCCACGCCGGAGCCGGGTCCAACCGCCGCGACTCCGGAAACCTCGGCGAGGCCTCCGCCGGTGCCGGACCCTTCCCGGGGGCGCCGGGGCGGCACGAAACGCGCCGGCGGCTCCCGGGGGCCCTTTTGTGCGGCGGAGGCAGCGGAGCAGCGCGAGGAAGGAGGAATTCCTCCGGAGATCAAACGCCTTCGCCAACTGGACACCGACGTCAAAACAAACCGGCTCCCAGCGCGGGGCCGGGAGCCGCGCGGGGGACAAGATCCAATTTCCTCCTTTGTTCCTGGATTATTATTTTTTGCAGGGGGCGAGGAGGGGGCGGGGGAGCGGCAGGGAAAGGGCCATAAATCACGGCCTGACAGAAGAGAAAGGAGAAGCGGGGCTGGCTGCAGGTGGGGGTGACCCCCCTGCCCGCCCTCAGACCCCCCCCCCCAGCCAGGCCCCGTTCCCAGCTGGCTCTGTTGGGTGTTATTCCATGGCCACGGCAGCCCTGGGGCATCGGGGCCTTTCAGGGCACCATATCAGTGGGTACCTGGTGAGCAGAGACCCCTAAAGGCAGGAGAAACAGGGGGGGTTGTTTTGTTTATGGCCATGTCACACACACCCCCCCGCTGCACCCCAGCTCCAGGCTCAGGGCCTTGCTTTGCCCTTCCCTTAACCTCAGCCCTGGCACGTGGGTTGGGAATGCCAAGGACACTGGCAGGAAGGTCCTGGCAGCGCCGGTTCCAGGCGGTGTGGGCATTCCCAGCCACGCCACACGGCACCAGCATCCTCACCGTGAGGTGGAGCGCCCCGTGGGGACACCGGGGGGTCAGAGGTGCGAGGGGGCACCCGGTCCACCCCACCCCATCCCCGCGCCCTGCCCGCCGGACTTTGCCCCTGGAAGTCAAGGCGAGCAGGTGCCGGGATTCACCGGGGCCGCCGTGGCACGGCCGGGAGGGGAGTTTGGCCCCGGGTGAAAGGCGGCGGCAGGGCGGTGGCGGGGGCTGCTCCGGGGTCAGGCACCTTTCCACAGGGTTTATCCCCCGGTTAATGATTTCCAGGGCGGCAGCAGGCGGGCGAGGAGCACCCAGCACCCACCGCCCGCCCCTGGCCGGCTCCTACGGGTCCGACTGGATTAACCACATTGCAGACGGGCTTTATGGGGCCGCGGGAGTCGGGCCCCGGCCACGTCCGACCCTTTTGCTCCCTCCCAGGGCTGGTGGCTCCTGAGGGACCCCCGGGATCACCCCGAGGCCCCACTCGAGCCGCAGCCTCGGTAATTAAAGGTCCCGCTGGGGCTGTCGGCGAGAGGAGGGGATTGACGATGCCGACGGCTTGGCCACGGGCCAGGAGTAGTGGGGAATTGCTTCCCAGCCAGGAGTAGTGGGGAATTGCTTCCCAGCCAGGAGTAGTGGGGAATTGCTTCCCAGCCAGGAGTAGTGGGGAATTGCTTCCCAGCTTCCCAGCATCCCGGCGGCCCCCGACGGCATCGCACTGTGCCACGACGCCGCAGCCCAGGTGGCCCTGCATGCCGGGCTCTCGGTGCCACGCTGGAATCCCAGTGCCACGCTGGGCTCCCAGTAACATGTGGAGCTCCCAGTGTCACACTGGGCTCCCAGTAGGATGTGGAGCTCCCAGTGCCGTGCTGGGCTCCTGGTCCAACGTGGGGCTCCCAGAGCGATGCCGGACTCCCAGTTCTGTGCTGGGATCCCGGTGCCACACCGGGCTCCTGTGACAGTGCCAGGCTCCCAGTACAACACCAGGCTCCCAGTTTGATGCTGGGATCCTGGTGCCATGCTGGGCTCCTGTTCCAATGCCAGCCTCCCACCACAATTCCGGGCTCTCGGTGCAGCGGGAGGTGCCGAGCTCTCCCGGTGCCAGCCGAGGGCTCTGGTCCCCAAAATGCAGCGGGGGACCGGGAGGGGCCACATCCCGCCACCTCCGGTGGCTAAACCTCCCGCTCCATCACCACGGCCCCGCACCGGGGCCGTGCCCGGCTCTGCCACCGCCGGTACCGCCGGTACCACGGGCCCGGGGCGCCGGTCGCCGCCCCGCCCGGGGCTGCGGGGCCCCGCGGGGTGCGGGGGGCGGCGGGGGCGGCCCGGTGCGGCGGCGGGGCCGGGACCGGGGCAGGACCCGGGAGCGGAAGGGGAGGAGGACGGGGAGGAGCATCCAGGGCGGCCACCGCGGCAGCGGCTGAACTTTGCTCTTTCACGGGAGGCGGGGAGAGCCCCGGGGCTCGGCGGAGCCGGTCCCGCCGCACCCGCACCCGCACCGGGACCGGGCTGCGTGCGGCGGCGGGGCCCGGGGGGGCGAGGGCGGGCCGGGGCAGCGCCGCCCCCTCCCTCCTCCTCCTCTCCTCGCCTCCTCCTCTCCTCCTCCTCCTTCCAGCCGGTGCCGCGGAGCGGAGGAGCCACCGGGGGCGGGAGCGGCCCCCGCATGCGGCCGGTCCCCGCGGGGGGATGCGCCGCGCCCCGCGCCCGCCGCCGCAAAGTTTCCGCGGGGCCCCCCCGTTAACCGGGGCGGGGAGGAGGAGGGGGAGGAATCGCTGGGAAAAACGAATCCCTGGGCGAAAGGGATCCCGGCGATAGGGGAGGGCTAAACGGGGAGGGGAGGGGGGGGGAGGGGGCGGGTTTTAAAAACCAACCAAGGACAAAACAAAAAAAAAAAAAAAAAAAAAAAAAAAAAAGCAAAAAAAAAAAATTTCACAGCCGTGAAAATCCCAAACCGGCCGCCGCTCGGCCGAAAAAAAAAAAAAAAACTTGCCGAACTCGTTTGCGGGAGGCACCACCGGGGCGGCTCCGCTCGATGCGGCGGCGGGGCCGGCGCTGAGCCCCGCGGCCGGTGCCGAGCCCCGCGGAGCCATGGCCATGGTGGCCGGCGGATGGGGAGAGCCCAACGGCGGCGGCGGCGGCGGCGGGGAGGAGGCGGCGTCCCCCGCGGGCGGCGGCAGCGACGCGGAGCACGGCGAGGAGGAGCGGGCCGGGGCCGCCGTGGACTGCGTGGTGTGCGGGGACAAGTCCAGCGGGAAGCACTACGGGGTCTTCACCTGCGAGGGCTGCAAGAGCTTCTTCAAGCGCAGCATCCGCAGGAACCTCAGCTACACCTGCAGGTACCGGGGGGGGGGGTCTTGGGGGGCGCCTGGGGGGGGGGGTGTCCCCACCACCACCACCCCCCTTCCTGGGGTAGGGCAGCGGCGCGGTGGCGGGTCGGAGGGTGGTCCCCGGTGGCACCGGTGCGGGTCACTGGTGTGGCTCTGCAGTGGCCTCTGCGCTGGCCCTGCTGTGGCTGCGTGGTGGCCTCGCTGCAGCAGGAACGGGGGCACCGGTGTGGCCGGACGGGGGGCCCCGGTACCGGGTAGGGGGTCCTCCGGCACGATCGGTGGCCCACGGTGCAGCACAGGGTGCCCGGCACGGCTCGGGGGTCCCCGGAGCAGCACAGAGGTTCCCCCTCGGTACAGCCCTGGCGTCTCCCGGCAGAGCACAGGCGTCTCCTGGTGCAGCACGAGGGTTCTCCCAGGAAAGCACAGATGGCCCCCCCAGTACAGCACAGTGGCCCCCCGGTGTAGCACGGGGGTCTCTGGTGTAGCACAGGGATCCCCTCCAGTACGGCACAGTGTCCCCCAGTATGGCAGAGGGATCCACCAGAGCAGCACAGGGGTCCCTTCCAGTACAGACAGGGATCCCCCAGTACAGCACAGAGATCCCCCCCAGTACATCTCAGTGTCCCCCCAGTACAGCACTGGGATCCCTCCATGCCCTGCACCCCACCCCAGCAGCCCCCCGGCCCCCGGGATGCGTGTGCTGCGTTCCCTGTTCCCGGGGCCCTCGGGCACAGCCGGTGTCCGGATCCTCGTCATCCTCACCCGCCGCTGCTCCGGCATTAATTGTGCCCGTGAGTCACTCCGGTCACGGCCGCTGCCCCCGCGCAGCGCGGCAGGACCGAGCCGGCCGGAGGTGCCGGGAGCCCGGGCACGGATCCGCTGGGGGGCCGGGAATAGGGACCCGCTGGGATACCCGGGTGAGGGGCTCTGCCAGCCCCCCGAGCGCTGCCGTGGATCCAGGCCCACCAGCAGGACCGGGAGATGACCCCTGGCAAGTTGGGAGCTGCCAATAACTCCGGAGTTTCTCGGGCTCGGAACAAGGATGGGGCTTGGCTGGTGCTTGGAGGGGAGACCCCCCATGTCAGGCTGCTCCCAGGGAGGGAAATACCTCCATAGGGGCTGGATCCGAGCGCTTCCAGCGGCGTTTTCCAAACCAGTGGGAGCGCTGCGAGGATGGCACTGACACCCCATCCATGGGCATCCCTCATCCGTGGGGCACCCCATCTCCACACCCCGCTCTCTGCATGCCCAGGGAAGGGGTCGGATGCTTCGAGGGAAGGGAAGGGAATTGTCTGGGAGCCGCTTTGCTCCCGTTTGGGCGGCCTAGATTCGTCCTCCCCCGTGCGCGGCGGCTCCGCTCCCGGCAGCTCCCGGCAGCTCCCGGCTCCGGTCCCGGCTGACGTCAGCCAGGCAGCTCGTGGCCGTGGCGTGGGGCCCCCCGGGCTGGCAGCGTGGGGCAGGGGCCGCTTCCCGTGTCCCCACGGCCCCGAGCGTGTCCCGTCTCCCGCCCCGTGGCCGCGCCGCGCGCGGAGGCGTCGCCCCGGCCCTGCCTCAGTTTCCCCTCCGGAGCGGCGGGATCCGCTCGGCTCGGGATTAATGATTTGAAGATGGGGAATACAGATGGCTTTTGAGAAATTCCAGCTTCCTGGAACAAAGGGAAGGCCGAAGCGGCTCCCTGGGAGACGGACGGACGCTGCATCCCAGATTGCCGGGGTGACGGGGCTCGGATCCCCCGGGATTTTATCCCGCCCTCGTCCCCGCCCGGGGTCTGGGCTCCCACTTGTGATGTTTGGGGTTTGTTGTTTTTTTTTTTTTCCTCTTTTTGTGCTGGGAAGTGATTTGGAGCAACAGAGGAACTGTTGGTTTTCCAAGTGGGGAGTGAAGTGTCGGAGGGGCCGGGAACAAAGCTCCCCCGGCAGCCCCGGCATCCGCTTTGTTCCGGAGTCAAAAGCGGCACCGAGCCCCGATGGCGCTAATTTGAATATTAAAAGTGAGTTGGATTCAGTTTAGTTCTTGCACTAAATAATTACCCGCTCTAATTACATAATTAGCACAGTCGACGCCTTTTGTAGCCTCGAAGTTTCCCAGGTCGCTGCTGCCTTTTCCATTGGAAAACTCGTTAGGAGCTGCTGAGGTGGTTTTGGGGAGGTTTTCCCGGTGCCCCGAGGGCGCGGTGAGGGGCAGCCAGGTGGGTTTCTGCACTGGGAGGGAGCCAAGACGGTTTTTAGGGGGGTTTCCCAGTGGAAATCCCTGACTGTCTCGCCCCTGGAGCCGTGTGGGAATCGGGGAGACTCGTGTCAGGGTTCCAGCCGGGTGGGTTTGTCCATTGGAAAGGAGCCGAGGTGATTTTGGGGGGTTTTCCTGGTGCCCCGAGGCCGCAGTGAGGGGCAGCCAGGCCAGTTTGTCCACTGAAAACCTTGTTAGGGGCTGCTGGCAGGAGCTGAGATGATTTTTGGGAGGTTTTCCCGGCGCCTTGAGGCCGTGGTGAGGGGCAGCCAGGTGGATTTGTCCGTTGGAAAGGATCTGAGATGATTTTGGGGGGGTTTTCCTCATTCCCCAAGGCCGCAGTGAGGGTCAACCAGATGAGTTTATTCACTTCAAGGGAGCTGAGATGATTTCTGGGGGGGTTTTCCTGGCACCCCAAGGCCGTGGTGAGGGTCAACCAGGCGAGTTTATTCATTTGAAGGGAGCCAAAATGGTTTTGGGGGGGCTTTTCCTGGTGCCCTGAGGCCGCAGTGAGGGTCAGACAGGCAGTTTTGTCCACTGGAAAGGACCTGAGATGATTTTTGGGGCCTTTCCCGGTGCCCCAAGGCCGTGGGGATGGTCAGCCGGGTGGTTTTGTCCCTTGGAAAGGACCTGAAATGATTCTGGGGGGGTTTTCCTGGTGCCTCGAGGTCACGGTGAGGGTCAACCGACCGACTTGATTCATTTGAAGGCAGCCAACGTTATTTTTGGGGGGGGTTTTCCCGGTGCCCCGAGGCCACGATGAGGGTCAGCCGGGCGGGTTCGCCCTCTGGAAAGGGACTGGGATGATTCCTGGCAGGGTTTTCCAGGCGCCCCGAGGCCGTGGTGATTAATTCACTTGGAGGGGAGCCAAAATGATTTTTTTTTTTTGGGGGGTGGGGGGGCTTTTCCCGGTGGCCCCCCCAGGCCTCAGCAGAGGGTCATCCCGGCGGGTTTGTCCTCTGGGAAGGCGCTGAGGTGGCTTCTGGGAGGTTTTCCCGGCGCCCTGGGGCCGGGGAGGGGGGCGGGCGGGCGGATCCTCCCGGCGCTGGATCCCGGCAGCCGGAGATGAAGTTGTCACCCGCCGCCTTGATTAGTTATCGCTCCTCCGCCGGCACAAGTTTTCATCGGGAGCACGTTCCGGAGCGCAGCGGTGATGTTCGGGATGAATTAATTCCGGTTGGAGCGCCGTGGGAATCCCTGCCTGCCTCGCCTCTGGAGCCGTGTAGGGATTGAGGAGATTCGTGTCAGGATTCCCGGGCAGGGCCGAGCGATTCCCGGCCCTGCCTCCTGCTTTATCCGCTTTAATTTATCCCAGATTCCCTGCTCCCACCCCTCTCCCCCCCCTCCTCTCTGTTCGCTGCTGGGCTGGGATGTGAGAATCGGCGTCTCCCCTTGGAATGGGGGCTGGGGGGGGGTTGGATGCTGATAATAATTCCGTTTGGGGATGGAATTATTCCGTTGGGCATGGAATTATTCCCTGCAGGAGCAGAGCTCAGCAGTTGCTCCGGGGGATGGCTGCTGTTGCCTGGAATGCCGTGCTCGGGGATGGATCCCTGTGCCAGGGGTGGGCATGACCCCCTTCCAGGCTCCCAGGGGATTTGGGGAGGGGGAACATCCCTCTGTCCCCCTCCTCTGGGGGCTCGTGGGCTCAGCACCGCCCCAGCCCCGTAGGAAATAGTTGGAATTCCTTGAAATTCCTGGCGTGTCTGGTGGGCAGGCAGGGAGCTGCTGCCATGGGACACCCTCCCCGGCCCTACGTGTCCCCAGGGACTGGAGCCCGGGGGGGTCTTCCCAGCCTCCCAAGAGCCCCGGGCAGCGCCGGCAGCAGGATCTGGAGGAGAATGTAGGAAATGGTTGTTCCCATAGGATCAGAGCACGGAGGGAAGGGCTGTGACCGAGGCCAGTGGGAAGGGGGTGGTGAAAGAGCTCGGGGGGGGGCTCAGGGACCCCTTGGGGGGGCTCACCCCTTCCTGGCCCCTCACCTGCTCCTGATGCTTCCCGCAGATCCAACCGGGACTGCCAGATCGACCAGCACCACCGCAACCAATGCCAGTACTGCCGCCTCAAGAAGTGCTTCCGAGTGGGAATGAGGAAGGAAGGTAATGGGGACGAGGGGTGGGGGCACTTCCCAGCGTGGCCTGGGACTCCCTGGGATATCCCTGTTTCCAACAAACCCCCCCCACCCCATCGGCCCCTTTTTTTGGTGGTTTTTGGTTTTCCCTCCTCTCCTCACTCCCCCCTCCCCCGTGTGTTTGTTTGGAAAAGCCTCGGGCTGACAAGGGGACACGCCTGGAGCAGGGATCACCTGCTGGGATGGGCTCCTGGATCCCAGCAAATCCCACAGCCTGCTTTCCTCCCGCTCCCCCTCACCTGGGGGGGGGGGTGAGAACCCCAAATGCTTCTGCATCCAGGATGATCCCAAAAAAACTCCGGTTTATCCCCCCAGAATCCCCAATCCCTGGGGCTGGGGCTGTGCCAGGATGGGGATGGAGGTGCTGTGGCTGCTCCGTGGCAGGTGGCATTGACACAGGGAGGAAGAGGGGACGGATGCTGGAAGCAGGACAGTAATTCCCTCTTTTCCAGAGGAGTTGGGATGGCATTATTGCCACTTAGCATGATTTAGAGCTCTCATTTAAGTGCCTCACGAACAGCCCATAAATTAATTACCAGGGATTGAGCAAATACTGGGCACTAATGGGGGTGGGGGGAGCCGAAAAATGGCTCTTCCTGCCTGCAATTAGGAGCGGGAGCTCCGGGGCAACGGCGCTTCCAGGGGGGACGTTTTGTGTGGGAATAAATGATTCCTGCCATGCCATGACCCCGGGCAGCGACTGCAGCCGGCGTGGGGGGGCTGTGGTGCCAGCTGGGCACCCAGCCTGGCGTGGCCGGGGCCGTGGGTGCTGGTGGGAGCTGATGGATCGCCGGGATATTAAATGGACGAGCGTGGCTCGCGCCACCTCCCTCCCCTCGGGCGCCTCAGAGCTGCTCCTCGTCCCTTGGGATGGCAGGACGTGGCTCTGCTGGGGGGGGGTGGGATGCTGGGGGGGCGGTGGGAGCATCCCCGTGGCAGGATATGGCCCTGCTGGGGATGTCAGGATGGTGGGAGCGTCCTTGTGGCAGGATAGGGCTGTGCTGGGAACGCTGGGCAGGCGATGGGAGCATCCTTGTGGTAGGATGTGGGAATGCTGGGGATGCTGGGAATGCTGGATGGCTGGCAGGAGCATCCTTGTGGTAGGATATGGCCCTGCTGGGGATGTGAGGATGGTGGGAGCATCCTTGTGGCAGGATAAGGCTCTGCTGGGGATGCTGGGGATGCTGGACAGGTGGTGGGAGCATCCTTGTGGTAGGATATGGGAATGGTGAGGATGCTGGGAATGCTGGGCAGGTGGTGGGAGCATCCTTGTGGTAGGATATGGGAATGCTGGGGTGTCAGGATGGTGGGAGCATCCTTGTGGTAGGATATGGGAATGCTGGGGATGTCAGGATGGTGGGAGCATCCTTGTGGCAGGATATGGGGATGCCAGGGATGTCGGGGTGAATGGTGGGGACATCCCCGTGGCAGGCTGTGGGGGTGGTGGGTGGGCGGTGGGAGCACCCCCATCCTTCCCCACCCTTCCCGTGGGCACCGGGAACGCCGGGAGCGGGATGAGTTTATCCGGCAGGACCCCCCCACGGCTCCTCTCGTCCCGCAGCCGTGCAGCGGGGCCGGATCCCCCCGAGCCACTCCAGCACCAGCCCCAACACCATCCCCAGCGGGGAATACTTCAACGGGCAGCCGGTGTCGGAGCTCATCTCGCAGCTGCTGCGGGCTGAGCCCTACCCGGCCGCCCGCTACGGCTCCCAGTACGCGCAGCAGGGCAGCGTGATGGGCATCGACAACATCTGCGAGCTGGCCGCCCGCCTGCTCTTCAGCACCGTGGAGTGGGCCCGCAACATCCCCTTCTTCCCGGAGCTGCCCGTGTCCGACCAAGTGGCGCTGCTGCGGCTCAGCTGGAGCGAGCTGTTCGTGCTGAACGCGGCGCAGTCGGCGCTGCCGCTCCACATGGCCCCGCTGCTGGCGGCCGCCGGCTTCCACGCCTCGCCCATGTCCGCCGACCGCGTCGTCTCCTTCATGGACCAGATCCGCATCTTCCAGGACCAGGTGGAGAAGCTCAACCGGCTCCAGGTGGACTCGGCCGAGTACAGCTGCCTCAAAGCCATCGCGCTCTTCACGCCCGGTACGGCGGCGGTGCCGGGGGGGGTTTGGGCCGGGCCGGGGGTGGGAGCGACCAGGGAGGGGGTGTCTGCTGTTTTCCTGGGGGTTTGGGGTCTGGGGAGTGTCTGGAGAGGGCAGAGGGCCCTCCTCACCTGGCATTGTAGCGTCCCAGCGTGTCCGTCGGGATGCAGGGATGAGCTTCCCAGGGTGATGGGAGTGGGATCTGCAGGAGTGCAAATACCCCCTGGAAAACAGGGAGGTGGGAGCCTCGTCCCTTGGTCCATCCATGCTCTTCCCGTGCCACAGAGGTGGTTTTGGGGTCCAGGGAGCACCCGGGTCCTGTTCCCTGGTACTTTCCCCCTGTGGTGTGTTGCATCCTGGGTTTCTCTGGATACAGGGATGAGCCTCCCCGGGGTGGTGGGAACAGAACAGATCTGTAGGAACACAGATACCCTCAGGGAAATGGAGGGGGACCTTGGGGAGCCCCATCCCTCGGTCCCTCCGTGCCCATCCCACGCTGCAGCAGCGGCGTTGGGGTCCGGGGAGCATCCGGAGGTGGCAGAGGGTCCTCGTTCCCTGGCACTTCACCGCCGTGGTTTTGGTCATCCCGGCGTGCCCATGTGGGTGCAGGGACGAGCGTTCCCTGCAGGAATGCGAATACCCCCTGGAAAACCGTGAGGGTTTTCCCTTGTCCTTCCCAGGACTTTCCCAGTCCTTGCTGGTGGGCGCGTCCACGAGGCGGGAATTCGGGGCTGGGGGCTCCCCGGGGGTGTCCGGGGGTGTGTCCGACCGGTGCTCCCCCGTTGTCTTGCAGACGCCTGCGGGCTGTCGGACCCGGCGCACGTGGAGGGGCTGCAGGAGAAGGCGCAGGTGGCCCTGACCGAGTACGTGCGCTCCCAGTACCCGTCGCAGCCGCAGCGCTTCGGGCGGCTGCTCCTGCGGCTGCCGGCGCTCCGGGCCGTGCCCGCCGCCCTCATCTCCCAGCTCTTCTTCATGAGGCTCGTGGGCAAGACGCCCATCGAGACGCTAATCAGGGACATGCTGCTGTCCGGGAGCACCTTCAACTGGCCCTACGGGACGGGGCAGTAGGGACGGAGCGCGGGGGGGACGTCCCGGGATCGCCCCCGGCAGCCGGACGCGGATTCGTTCCCGCGGCGTCCCTGGGGTGGAACTGTGCTGGCCCTCGGCCCCAGAGCTCTGTCTGCCACAGGAGGGGGCCCTGCTCCCCGCAGGAGCTGTGGGGTCACGGTGGTGTCCCCAAAAAGCAGCGGGGGCGTGGCGTTGTCCCCCTGAATCCGAAGGTACTCTCCGTGTCGCCGCCGTTGGACACCGGACTGTTCTGGACCCCGCGGAGCTTCCCGGCCCCCCCCCGGTTCCCCCCCCCCAGGGACTTTGGAGCATCCCCAGGGCTGGTTCCTCTCCCCCCTGTGGAACTCGGAGCATCCCAAGGGACCTCGGAGCACCCCCGGGGCTGGTCCCTCCCTCTGCCTCTGTGGTGGAGCCCCAGGGAAGGGGGATCCCACCCCCTTCGCTCCTCCAAATCCGGATTTCAGGTGTCGGAAGGCTCAGGCAGGAAGGAGGTGGGAGATGGGACCAGCCAGGCTGGGACCCCTGGCTCTGTCCCCCCCCCCGCTCCAATCCTGGGAATCGTGGAAAAAAGGGTCATTTTAGAGCCCCTTTGTGCCCAGCAGGCCGGATCCAGCCTCGAGGACTGATGTGCTGAGCTTGGAGCAGCCCCGTTTTGGGGCTGGTCCCACCTCCCACTGAAGCATCTCCGGCATGAGGGGGCACCGGGAGGACACGGGGACAGAATGGGGGGCGCAGGAGGGGCTGGGGGGGTTTTTTGGGGTGTGAACAGCACCCAGCCCTTCCCCCTGGGCTCATTCCTGCTTTTCCCCCCCTCAGGCCAAACCCAGCACCCCCCCCCCTCCCCACAGCGGGGGTGCCAGCAGCCCCCTCCCCACGGTCCTGTGCCTCCCTGGGGGTTTTTTTAAGCCACATTTGGGCGAGAAAGGAGATTTTGGGGGACCAAAATCAGGCTGGAAAGGGGTGATGCTGGGGGGGGGGGGGTCCCCAGGGCTGGAGGGGGCACATGGAAGCAGGGGGGGGTGGGCAGAGCCAGCCAGGAGGGATCAGAGAGGGGTCCCCCCCCTCGGTGTGACAGACGGCGTCAGGATTAGCCGGGATTTGGCATTTAGGTTGATTCACTGAAAATATAATCCTTGTTCAATGATACTAAACAAATGAGTTAAGTCAATAAAAGATGTTTCTTACAGCCCTGGGGGTCTGGTGTGAGCAGGGATTTGGGGGGGGGGGCTCATCACCCACCCCGGGGGGATGGAGCCAAGTGGGGGGATGTGATCCCTGCCCCCCAAAAATATGGAACCCCTATAAAATCCCTAAAATTGGATGTTTTATGGGTAATCTGGGGATTTGGGGGGGGTTCCTGGGTGATGGTATTTAACATGGGGGGGGGGGGAGGATCCCTTGGGAATAAATCCTGGTGAGGCAGAGCTGGATCAGCAGGAGGGAGGGGAGGAGTCAGCACAGGGGTTGGGATTGGGGCTTTTGGGAGGGGATTGGGGTCCCCCTTTCAAGGTGGGGGGGTGGTTTGGGGGACTCCCCCCCCCCGTCACTCTCCCCCTGTGCCCCCCCAAGCCCCTTTCACACTGACCCCAATTTAAAATCAATAGATACACTTCATTTATTTAAAAAAAAAAAATAATTGAAATATTACACAGTTTCAAAGAGTTCCTTATAAAATATCACCGGGGGGGGGTCCCCAAAGGGGTTCTTCCCCCCCCCCAAACCCCTGGGGGGCCCGAGACCAAGGCGTTCTCTGCCCCCCACCATGGGTTGGTACCCCAACCCCTGTGAAGGCACCCAGGGGGGTGCAGACCCCCCCAAAAAAACATACTTACAGGAGTGGGAGGGGCCCCACAGGATGGGAAGGCACTGGGGGGGGCACTCACAGGGTGGGGGGGACACTGGGGGGGGGGTCACACCAGCAGCTGCCTCCAGCCCCCCAGCCTTGGCACCGGGGCGGTTTTGGGGGGATTTTAGTACAACAAAAGGCACAAAATGCCCCAAAGTCTTTGCAGAGGGGGTGGGGGGGAGCAGAGGGCCGACCCCCCGTGCCCCTCTTTCCGTGGGGGGGGCTCAGGTCACCCCCGGACCTTGTCGTAGTCGCTCACCATCCGCTTGATGTGGAAGAGTTTGTTGCGCAGGGTTTTGGTCTCCAGCTTCTTGCTCTGGTAGTCGGGGCTCTGAAAGGCAGCAGGGCGCTGGCATCGGGGGTGGGGGGCACGGGGGGGCGCACAGGGAGGCAGGTAAACCCCCCCCACACAGCCGTGTCACCCCCCACCTCCCCGACTCACCCTCTTCTGGTCCTTGAGCCTGTTGTACTCCTCGGCCAGGTCCTGCGGAGGGAAGGGCAGGAGGGGGGTCACAGGGGGGGCACAGGGGGGGCACAGCTTGGGGAGCACCCCAGGGGGGTAGAAGTGCTGCCATGTGCTGTCCCTGGTGTCCTGCAGCACCCTGAGGTTCCACAGCATCCATCCCAGATCCTCCCCAGCATCCGCCCCCAGCGCCCGGAGGCATCCCAAGGCTCCCTGACATCCACCCCTGGTGCCCTGCAGCATCCCAGAGCTCCAAAGCATCCATCCCAGCTCCTCAGCACCCATCCCAGTACCCTGCAGCATCCCAGCTCCTCAGCACCCATCCCAGCACCCTGCAGCATCCCAGCTCCTCAGCACCCATCCCAGTACCCTGCAGCATCCCAGAGCCTCAGCACCCATCCCAGTACCCTGCAGCATCCCAGCTCCTCAGCACCCATCCCAGTATCCTGCAGCATCCCAGATCCTCTGCAAAAATCATCCCCCCTGCCCTGCAATGCTCTGGATCCCCCACACCCATCCCTGTGCCCCGTGGCCTCCCAAGGCCCCACAACATCCATCCCCAGCATCCTGAAGCCTCCCGAATTCCCCATGACATCCATTCTCTGATGCCACACAGCGTCCCAGAAGCTCCACAAAAACCCATCCCCAGCGCCCTGCAGCATCCCGGGACCTCCTGAGCACCCATCCCAGCTCCTCAACATCATCCCCAACGCTCTCCAGCATCCCATACCCTCCACAACACCCATCCCAGCTCCTCAACATCATCCCCAACACCCTCCAGCATTTCACACCCCCCACACACCCATCCCAGCTCCTCAACATCCATCCCCAACACCCTCCAGCATTCCATACCCCCCCACACCCATCCCAGCTCCTCAACATCATCCCCAACACCCTCCAGCATCCCATACCCTCCACAACACCCATCCCAGATACCCAGCATCCATCCCCAATGCTTTCCAGCATCCCACACCCCCCACACACCCATCCCAGCTCCTCAGCATCCATCCCCAACACCCTCTAGCATCCCATACCCCCCCACACACCCATCCCAGCTCCTCAACATCCATCCCCAACACCCTCCAGCATCCCATACCCCCCCCAACACCCACCCCTGCTGCCCTGCACCATTCCCAAGGCTCCCCCCCCACCCCTTCCCACCCCCCACCGTGTGCCAGCGCTGCCACGGCTCCCACCTGGTACTGGGGGCTGTCCTCGGGGACACTGTCCAGCTGCTTCCCGAGCTGGCCCAGGCGGTCGTTGACGGCGTCCATGTGGGCACAGAGCTCCTTGTAGCGCCTCAGGTCCGAGTCGAACTCCTGCTTGTACCTCTGCCGCGTGGCGTCCGAGGAGATGGGGGGGTACAGGCTGGGGGGGGTGGGGGGCACAGTGAGTCCCCCAGGGGCGGCTCCAGCTCCGGGGGGTGCTCCGGGGGGTCCCCAGCTCACCTGGCCCACTGGTCGGGGTCCCGCTCGTCCCCGGACTCCACGGCCGTGGTGTAATCGGTCTCGTACTGGGACTCGTCCAGCTCCGGGTTCCGGCGGCGCCGGCGCCCGCGGCGCGTGGGGGGCTTGGGGTTGGGGGGCTGCTCCCGCCCCTTCCCCTCCGCGGGGCTCGGCTCCTGCTCCGGGGGGTCCCTGCGGGGGACACAGCGGGGTCATGGAGGGGATGGACACCCAGACCCCCTTCCCTTGGCTCCTGCTCCAGGGGGTCACTGCAGGGACATGGGGGTGTCACAGAGGGGACAAACACCCAGACCCCCTCCCTGCACCCTCCCTTGGCTCCTGCTCCAGGGGCTCACTGTAGGGGCTCAGGGGTGTCACAGAGGGGATGTACCCCCTAGACCCCCCTCCCTTGGCTCCCGCTCTGGGGGAGCGGGGGGACAAACACTTGAGGGGACAAACACTCAGACCCCCCTCCCACACCCTCCCTCAGCTCCCGCTCCGGGGGGTCCCTGCAGGGACACGGGGGTGTCACCGAGGGGGTGGATGCCCAGACCCCCTCCCTGCACCCTCCATGGGCTCCCGCTCTGGGGGGGTCCCTGCAGGACACACGGGGGTGTCACCGAGGGGATGTACCCCCCAGACCCCCCCCTCCCTTGTCTCCCACTCTAGGGGGGTCCCTGCAGGACACACGGGGGTGTCACAGAGGGGAAGTACCCCCCAGACCCCCCTCCCTGATCTCTGGGGGTCCCTGCGGGGTCCCAGGGGTGTCACAGAGGGGACAAACACCCGCCCCCCCCGGCCCTGCCCACACTCACCCGCGGGTGCTGTAGGTGCCCGAGGGGTAGAAGCCGTTCGGGGGGGGGCTGTAGGAGGGGGGGCTGTAGGGGGGGGCGGTGATGGGGCTCGTGGGCTTCTCCGAGTAGGCCAGAGTGGCCGTCTCGTCCTGGGCACTGGCCCCGTCCGTCACGTTCTTCACCTGCAGCGGGGACGGGGGTCAGGGGGGTCCGGGCTCGAGGGGGGGACACTGCCCAGCCCCCCCAGCAGGGCACGGTGGGGACAAAGGGGACACCAGTGTCTGTCCTGTGCAGCAAATCCTGCGGCAGGTCAATGATGGTGAGGGGTTGTTGGTCCCCTCAGGGCCCCCAAACTCCCCAGGGACCCCTAAAACCCCACCAGCTGCTGCAGGAGCTTTTTGAGGGGCAGACCCAGGGTGACAAAGGACTGACATTCCCTGGGAACCCCCAAACTCCCAGGGACCCCCCAAACCCCACCAATGGTTGCAGGACCTTGTCAGGGGGCAGTCCCGGGACCAGTGGGGACACAGGGCAGTCAGAACCCCAAACCCCCCCCAGAATCCAGGAATGAGCCCCGGCAGAGCTGCACTGGGGTGTCCCACGTGGCTATGGGGGAAAAAGGAACGAGGGGAGGCCCCCTGGGTGGGCAACACAGCATCTGGGGAGGGGGAGGCTGGACAAGGACCCACAGACCCCAGAGCCCCCGTAGGGCAGAGGGGGGTCCCACTGGGGGACAAGAACAGACGGACACAGCTCGGGGGGCTCTGACACCCCCAGGGTGACACCTCCCGGGCTTTGGGGGCGTTCCTGGCCCCTCATCCAGCACTTCCCCACCCTGGACCCCCATCGCCCCCCTGGCACGGCCGGGGCTCCTCCAGGAGGACGCGGGGTGTCCGTCTGTCCCCCCTCCTGCTTCCTTCCTGGCCTTTGTGGGCTGTTTGTGCCGGAAGCCGGTCCCTGCCGGGAGGGGGGCCCTGGGGACATCCGGCCGGTCACGCCGCTTCCGACGGCACCTTCCCCCCCACTAACGAAGCCACGGCTAATTGGGGGCCGCCAGGTGACAGGGCCAGCGGCGTGGGGACAGCCGTGTCCCCGGGCCACGCCGGGACGGCAGCGGGGTGGCCGCGGTGGCTCCCGCCCGCTCGAAGGTCACCCCGTTATCTCGGTCCCATAAAACGGGAACAGGACGTCCCAGGAGGGAATCACACCCTGAAACCTCCCCAGCCGAGGGGGGGTGTCACCTGAGGGTGACCCCACGGCGTCACCAAGCCAAGAAGGACCCCCCCAGGGGACCCCGGGGAGTGGGGCCCTGTGTCCCAGAGGGGCAGGAAATGCTTTGCAAGGGAGGGACTTTAACCAAATAAATAAAACCCCAACAAAGGGATTGCTGCGAAATGAAAAATAAATATTGGACTTGCAGGCGAGGGTGAGGCTTGGGAACATGGGAGAGAGGAGTGGGGACAGGGAGAGAGGAGTGGGGACATGGGAGAGAGGAGTGGGGACATGGGAGAGAGGAGTGGGGACATGGGAGAGAGGAGTGGGGACATGGGAGAGAGGAGTGGGGACAGGAGAGAGGAGTGGGGACATGAGGGACGGAGAGAAAGACATGGGGGGACCCAGACATGGAGCACAACATGG